CAATTTCCAACCAAGATTTCCTATTAGTGTGCCCTAATCCATTTTCATGTTTCAAATTATCATTCCAAGGGTTTTCAATCTCAAATCAAGGATTAACAATGCTAATCCATCTATCTCAAGTCCCTAAATGAAGCTGATTTGGGTTCTCCCTGAAAACAGGGGTTAAAACAGCAATTTCAGGCCAAACAGGGTCAAACCCCGTGTCAACCGGTCGACCGGTGACAGAGCAGTGCAACACTATCGGTTAACCGGTAGTGTGCACACTGGTCGACCGGACCGGTCAACCGGTCAGCCTACAATTCGGTCGACCGCATAGGTCAGCCGGTTTCCATGTGATCCGGTCAACCGCACAGGTCGACCAGTGGAATCAGCTGCGCGAGAGAAGCTCGCGGCAATCAGTCCAAAACCTACAAATCTAGTCCCAAATCGAGATATTTCAAAGGAAAACCACTAGATCTGGGTTCTAGGTCCTAAGACAAGTCCAAAGAACCCAAGATCTCCAATTTGTACTCTAGTTTTACTCAAAAACCATCAAAATCCGGTTTGAACCAAAAATAGGTTTTGAAATTCAAAAACTTGAGATTCAAGAGAGGTTCTTTCAGTAATCTTACCTCGAATCCTTCTCTTGACGTTGAAAACTTCTTTAAATCTTTCCTTGGTTCAAGATCCGTTTTGATTTGGGACAAAAATGAGAGAGGGAGAGAGTGAGAGAGAGCACGGGAGAGTGAGAGAGAGAGTGAGGGAGAGTGACGCACGGGAAAGAAAAGAGAAAGGAAAGGAAAAAGGAAAAGGGAAAAGAAAAGAAAAGGAAAAAGGAAAAGAAAATGACAAGTGTACAATATTTTAAAAGAACAGTCCAGAAATGCGCCCATACACACTTCTGGTTTAAAATAAATTACTGAGAATAATTTAAATACCTTGGAACTATTTAAATTCACACGTCAGAAATATTTATTAATTAAAACTCAATTAATAATTCAGATTAGGCACACTAATAATCTCAATTACCTTAATTAATCTCAATTAATTCTTCAGGGTGTTATAATTTTAAAAATAGATATTTTCTTAAGAATATTAGGCCATATTCATTTCACCGATTCGAGTTTTCAATTTTAGGTTTTTACAGTAAAAAGTTCTCAGAAAATCTTACATCTAACTTTTTCTGCTACAGTGAAAATTTTTCAAAAAATGTCACATCTAAATTCGAATTGAAAACTCGAATTCACAAAGTGAATGAGGTCTTAATTTTTACAAAATCTTACGATATTATGAGAAAAAATACTACACTCTTATTTTTATAGCGGGAGAAAAAGTCAATTTTTTCATCGTGCGCATATAGAAGCTACTTTACTTTTCTGATGGAATATGCTGAAACGACACAAAAACTCCATCTCCATATTAATGCAAAACCTACATAAATTGCCTAAAACCGCCGTCTGTGGGAATCGAACCCACGACCACGTGGTTAAAAGCCACGCGCTCTACCGGCTGAGCTAAGACGGCTGGGGAGATAGCGCTCTTAAAACATTTAGAGCCCGTTTGGTTGGAGGATTCGTTCTCTTATTCGAATCATGATTCATGGTTCGCTACAATATTTTCTCTCACAAAAAACACACGTAAATCAAAAATGGTTCTAATATCATGGTTTTAATCCATGAACCAAACGGGCTCTTAATCGAACATAAATTTTGTAAAGACCCAACAAGTTAAAAAGCAAAAGGCCAATACTTAACATGAAGTCGGGATGACAATAAGGTAGGGTGGGGGCGGAAGAATATTTTTCATCCTCATTCATTTTCTTTTAAATTGTCCCCATCACTGCATAAGAAAGGGTAGGATCGGAGTTGGAAATTCTTATTGAGAGAGTTTTTTTCATACTTGTTTTATTCTTTATCATATAAGACTATACATTTTAAAATTACAGCAACTTAAAATAAAAATAAATAAAAGTTCATTATATGAATTTAGATCAAAATGAAAGGTTCCATAATAAAAACAAAATCTTAACCTATTGCTAACTGAATCCAAAAATAATAACTAATGCATAAGTAAAAAAAAAAAAAAAAAAAAAAAAAAAAAAAAAAAAAGTTTAAAAACATCAAAAATAAAAACGTAAATGACTTCATTGTCTATTCCTAATAGCTTCAAAAGAAGATGAAGAGGCACTAGGCAGTGCATTCTTATATGTATATATAATAAAAGAAAATATTAGTAGTCGCACTTTTTAAGGAGCTAGTTTCGTTTTTCCAATTAAAAAAATGTAGTTACCCTTTTTTTTAAGTAAAAAGTAATTTTAAGAGATTATTTATATATATATATATAATAATACATTAATATTGAGGCGGTGGCGGAATAGAGAATACTTCTTCCGTACCTCATCACCTCATCATAAATCCTTTTTTTTAAGTAAAAAGTAATTTTAAGAGATTATTTATATATATATATATATAATAATACATTAATATTGAGGCGGTGGCGGAATAGAGAATACTTCTTCCGTACCTCATCACCTCATCATAAATTGGGGACTATATTTTGTCCTCATCTTCAATAATTGTCCCTCATTTCCGTCTCGTTCCGGGTGAGACCCCGTTCTGTTGAGGACTAGGACTATTACCATCCCTAACATGGAGGCAATATTGATTTATCATTAATTTTAAGGATCAATTCTAGAACAATTTATTTTCGTTGTAAACATGTCGTAAATGTACTATTGATAACTTTTTTTTGTTTTTTGTTTTTGTTTTTTGCTGGAAGTACTATTGACAACTTAGATGAAAGTAAGGCAGAACTTTCTATAACTAGTAACCATTACATGCCAAACTGGGAAAAGAACACTAAACAAACACAAAAATAAATTTCATGGTACTTTTTTTATGGGCTTTAAAATACAAGAATTGACAAATTAATCGTATTGACGATTAAAGATAAAAGAAAGAAAGAATTTTTTTTTTTTTTTTTTTTTTTTTTTTTTTTTTTTTTTTTTTGTGTCTTAGAGCAGAAAGAAAGAATTTTCCATTACAACTAGTAACCACAGCTAGGAAATTTCCTTTAAAAAAAACAATTCATGGTACTTTTCCTTTCTGGGTTTTGGAATACAATTTTAGTTAACCAGGTAGTAACATAAATAGTTGAAATGATTAATATTAATGACAAAAAAAAAAAGTAGCATAAACTAGAAATTGCTCTCCTTCCATCCTCCAAACTCGTGTCCATTTTCCTCTTCCACCTACAAAATGCAACAATAAAGCATGATCAACCAACTGAACAAAAGTAGGAAATTACAATGTGGATAAATTAATTAGTGAGAATGTGTTAAGCCAATAGTTAGCTACCTTCCGGGTAAAAGTCACTCCAACTTGTATCTCTCCACGATAAGTATTGTCTTGGCGAATGACCCTGTATTTGACGGGATGCATTTCAGCAGTTCCATTCTCAGCTCCAAGCACCAATAAATCCTCCACATAGATCCTGCTTCCACAATTATTCCAATTAAAAAACTTTTCATTTTTCAACTAACAAAAAGAATCAAATAAGCAGTTGCATGCATAGCCTAACCATAAAAATGCACATCTCTCCTTCAAGGTCTAGGGTTCAAATTCAAAAAAAAAAAAAAAAAAAACCAAACAAACAAACAAAAAAACAAATAAGAGAAACATACATTTTTTTTATTAGCAATGCACTTATTTGTGTATATGATACTCGAGTTTCTCATGACATTAAAAAAAAAATGTTTCATATTGATTGCTAAATCAACTATAAAGTGGGATTTAAGTTGTCATTACATTTTCTTTTTTTATTAGAAAATTAACTATCAATCAATTCAGAAGAAGCCAAGTTGAAAATAATAATAATAATAATAATAATAATAATAATAATACAAGAGCAGCAAGAGCAGCAAAATTTCTTACGTGGCTTGTCCAATGAAATCGTCAGAAGAGAAGGTGTCCTTGTCCAGGATTTTGAGAATAATCTTGTAATTGTCACCAGAACCAGGATACTCCGCCCTGAAGCTGAATTTCTCGTTCCACACAGGATTCCCACCTCGCCCTGAAGTGCACCGTTTTGGGATTAAACAAACTGACTTTGCTTTTTCTTGTTCAATGACAACTCAAACCACTTTCGTTACATTAATGTGTGGCTAACCAAAATATTATCTAAAACAATGTCCCCCTTACACTTTCATAAATTCACAATAAAAGGCAGACATATATAAAATATCTGCCTCGCAAGCGAGAGTTGAATGACGATTTTGCCCTTAGATTTCCCCGCGTGGCTCATAAAGTTACGTACTTTGTCAATATTAGAGCATCTCTAATGCAATGTTATAATTGATGTGTGAATTATAAATTTAACATTTGAGTATAAAAAATACTCTAATACAATACTATTTGTTGTGTCAAATTTTTCATATATCATACTTTGTAGTAAATTTCACACTAAATATAACATATGAGAAATTTAATATTTAATTATTTTATTTTTTCATATAATCATTACTACTTTTGTATTTTTTAATTATTTTAAACATAAAAATTTACTTTTATAACTTTTAAAGTTTAATAATTATAAGAAAAAGTACATTTAACATTTCAAATAACATTATACATTAATTAGAATAAAAATAAAAATAATATATCATATCACACTTTTTAACAATAAATATATAATTATTATTAATATTTACATTAAAGATAATTTTATTTGTTGAACTGAGATCTTTAAACTTTTTTCTTTGGGAGATATATCTTTTAAAGCTTTTAATGCAGTGGAATGATGCTAGGCAATATTGAACGTTATTTGTCCTCGTATAGTTGTCTTTTAGCCTGAATTTATTGACAGAAACCGAACCACTGATTTCTTATTTAATGTTATTGATAAAACTTAAAAAGAGGAGAAAGTGGGGCACCTATAATAAATATAAGCATAAATAAACGTCCACGAGCCTACGACAGTGTTTTAAATTATTAATCTGTCTTTGTCGTCACATGAAATTTCTAATACGACCGTTTCAAGTGCCTACGTTTAATTTGTTTCATTATTCTCAATTCTCAAAGTCTTCGTAAGAAATCATAGGTGTTTCGCTGACCTATAACAATTAGGAATCAAGTCGAAGTTTTATTTCTTGGGAACTTATAATACACCTGTTCCACAAATAATATGCTTAAATGGGCACTTTCAAACGACACAATCAAACATAATTTTGTTCATACCATTCGAGTGCTTGAGGCAAATTAAAAAGGAAATTAACTAAACTAACCCCGGGCTACGCTGCTCTTGAGCTCTTGGCCTTTGTACTGAATCAGAACATAAGGGTCCATATCACCTACAAACCAAAAAAAAAAAAAAACAGTTGAGCAACGTAAGTAAAGAACTCAAAGAAAACAAAGAACATCAAAGCGTTTTTTTATTTTATTTTATTGGGGGTTTCTGAATTATATCATATTGGCCTAAAACTATACCAGAAATAATACGAATGAGAGAGAAAAAGTGTACCAAAGAAATCTGAGTCCCCAAGATCCTTTGCATTCACCAGCAAAACCTCCATAATCCCAACTGCCATGATCTCTGTGATTGTGAATGTGCTTTCTTTGCTCTTAAGAATTATCAGTTACGGTTTTGAGTTTGATGAGTTTGTATGTGTTGTATATGATATGTGGAAGATGGAATGAAAGTGCATGTTTTATAATGGAAGGGAAGGGTTATGCGGTAACAGGGCGTTGAAGATTTCCAAATGCACGACCAGTAACAGTCAGCCACCTCATTACCCCCAGCCGCCGAGTCAGTCTTCTTCTTTCTAAAGTCTAGTTAATTGTTCTTATTATGTTGCGTTACAAAATTGACTCTACAATTATGACTGCTAATATGGCAATACAAATTAGAGGAATTATTCAGTACACTGAGTGTATCACGTCATATTATTTATGTAGTACACTCAGTTAATGAGATTGTATAATTTAATACACCCGTTCAATAAGTTTTTTACTTTTATTTTTTTCTTTCTTAATATGTATTCAATATAAATACATATTAGGAAAGAGAAAAATAAAAATAAAAAACTTATTGAATGGATGTACTGAATGATACAATCTCATTAATCGGGTGTACCACATAAACAATATGACGTGATACACTCGGTGTACTGAATAATTTCTCTACAAATTGTTATTACTATTTTTTTTCTTTCTTTTGAAGGAAACTTCTTGTTATTACTTTTTTTTTTTTTTTTGAAGTTTATTACAATTTGTAGAACACTGCAACTTTTTTCGAGAAATTATTGACAAAATCTCTTTCTAAGACGCGTGGCTGTAGTTTGCTTTAATTATTCATGAATAGACCAAGCCCGCGCGTATGCTTCACTATCAATAATAGTGAGAAAAAAAAGGACTTCTCTTAAGGGAATGTTTTTTTTTTTTTTTTTTTTTTTGGTAAAGGAAATTTTTGTTTTTCAAATTTGGTTTGGTTCCATTACGATCTGGACCTTGAAAAAACTGTTGTCACAACTACTTTTTAGAAGCGGCTTTCAAAGGATTCAATTCTAGAGGAAAGTTGAGGGTGAGAATTTTTTCTTTTAATTAAGTTACGTTTAAGATTCTTTTTTTTTTTCTTTTTTTTTTGGTGATAAGTACGTGTATGATTTTTCGTTAAGAAATGTTTCTCATTGAAAATTAGTATTCATCCAAGTTTCTCTATAGAACATTCTTTCAATTATTCCACCATCCATCCAAGTTTCTCGTTACAACATTCTATTAATCATGGCTTAGGGACTAGGAAATGATTTAAGGTTAATCACACTAATAGTCTATGAGGTTTACTTTTAATCTCACTTTAATTGTTAACTTTTAAACTTCGTGTATTTGATTTATGAAGTTTTATTTTGTTTTCGTTTTAATACTTCTATTAGTTAGGTGTTGAATATTTGACGTGGTAAATTAAGGACTAAAATTGTAAACATCTAAAATTTAGAGACTATTTATAAAGATTAACTTTTAGTCCCTAAACATTAAACTTTAAATTTCATTTTGACTTTTTTTAAAATGTCGCACAATTGGTTATTGAGGTTTTATTTTGCTTCAGTTTTAGTACTTTTGTTAGTTAAGTGTTAAATATTTGACAAAATTTGAGTAAATTAATGACTAAAATTGAAAACATCTAAAAAATTTAGAGACTATTTATGGAAATTAACTTTTAGTCCCTAAACACCCATTTCAGTCCTTATATTTTAAAACGTCGCACGGTTTTCTTTTGTTTCAGTTTTGGTATTTTTTATCTAGGTGTTAAATTTCAGTCCTTTAAATTTGAAAACATGTAAAGTTTAAGGATTAAAAGTTAATTTTCATAAATAGTCTCTAAATTTTAGATTTTTCAATTTTTGTCCTTAATTCTATCAAATACTTAACATCTAACTATCAAAAGTACGGAAACAAAATAAAACCTCAATAACCAACTTAAAAACATTTTTTTTATAAAAAAAAATAGTCAAAAAAGGTGTAAAAGAAACTAAAATGATAATAAGATTAAATAAAATAAAATATAAAGACAAATGATAAAGCTCTGTAAAAATGACTCAATAAAAAAATTTTATTAATAAAATAACTTTTTAAAAATTTTAATTGGTAAAATGACTACAAAACGACCACTTTATACAAAGAACGACCGGATAGTCATTCTTTGCTAAAAAATGAAAGTCATTTAGAGCCCGTTTCGTTCATTAATTAAAACCATGAGATTAAAATCATTTTCGATTTACGTATGTTTTTTGTGAGAAAAAATATTGTAGCGAACCATGAACCATAATTCGAATCAGAAAACGAATCCTCCAACCAAACAAACTCTTAGTCAAATTTCTCTAAAATGATAATAAGATTAAGAGTGAGAGGAAAAACAAGAATTAGAGACTAAAAGAATAAATCAAGAGGACTCAAAAAAAAAAAAAAAAAAAAAAAAAAAAAAAAAAAAAAAAAAACACGAGTTTCATCCCCAAAGAAACATGGTTGAAATGTTTAGTCCCAACCCGACCCACTGACACGAAACATTTCATCCCGGTAGGAACAAAACCTACGCGCCGGTTGGCGCTTTTATATATTGTTAAGATCAAGATTAAGACAACGAACAAAACATCAAACAGAACAAAAGAACTTATCAAATTCCTCAAAAAACGAATATATATATATCTGACTTCTTCCACGAATCCACATAATTGCACTGGGTCTAAAAGCGAATGCTCAACAATCTTCAAGATGCATGCATATCACTAAACACAGTGCTCCACCCCCCTTTTTGAATGGACTGAACACAATGTTGCAACCTAAAAGAGTGATGCTAATCCAGCCAACATTAACCACCGAGTGAAGTTTCTGCAGCCTTCTTGTCCCCCCGGTCACCGGCTACGCCTGGATCCAGGTGGTGATATTGATGTTCTACGAGGTGACCTCCAATGTCCTTCCGCATCCTCAGTCTCGTATGCAGATTTCCTATAACAAACACGGCATCAGAATGCAGTAAAAACAAGGTCACGACAGCCACAATGAAATGTAATCTTCTCACAAAATGACACATACAATCAAAGTTTTATTTTAAGTTTGTGCTTATGAATCCCAGCCTTGCTCCATTATGACAATACAATATGCAAAGAAGAGTACTAAAAAAAAATTGCTATTTATCAGCTTAAAAGGTTGAAACTATTGGATAGATCTCCCATTTCTCATTAGTCATACCCATCATTGTTTGGATTTTGCTCAGCACCATTTTCAAAACCCGGAGAATATGACCTACGACTACGATCGCCATCTTGCTCTCGTGGAAGACCCCTTGGAGATCTTGGATGGTCTGCATGCCTTCTATTTGGGGAAACAGAGTAGTCAGCACGCCGCTTTGGAGCAGGAGAGCGGGACCTGGCATAGTTTAAAAAGGATTCACTGATTTGGAACAAATTAGACAAATATAATGGCTGTTATTGATGGCTTACCGTGAGTGGTATCGGCTTCTAGAACCTGAGGGATGGCGGGGAGAGCATGAACGGGATATAGATCGAGATCGAGAACGTCCTAAGACATATTATATGCATAATAGAATCAGATTTAATAGCTAAGCAAAAAGGAAGCATAATACAAAAGGAACAACAATGCCAACTTAAAAATAGCCACATCATTTTAAGATGCAAGAAAGTTGCTAGATAAAGCGTTTCACGTCTAACAACATTAAAAGCCCTGATTTTGGTCCTTCAAACTTTCACCTGATCCATAATTCAATTCTAAATAGAGAAGGAAAAAAAAAAGAAAAGAAAAGAAGAAACTTCATCGATCTAACTAATGAAAAAAACTGTACAGAAGAACTAATGTCCGCACTTATTAAAGTATAACCGTATAACTTGGTAGGCACTTGTGATAAAGATAAAACTTTCAAAGCCATATCAGGCACCACCATAAAAGATGGTGAAAGATAATATATAAATATATACATAAAATCAAATGCTTACAGAATAATCAGGAAGAACTTTGTTAAGTGCGCTATAAAAAGCGCTCTAGTTGTAGACATAAATAGTGCATCTAACTGGCCTATCAAGCCACACTAGTTCTAGACGCTAGAAGTGATAAACACAGTAAATCAAAATGTTCTAACGGGAAGTATGCAACTAAAGGGAAAAACCCAAGCACAGAAACAAGTGGTTCAAAATTTAGGGAAAAGGAAAAACTACAACCCGGTATAAAAGTAACAGAAACCATCTAAAGAAGATCAATAAGAATCTACAGAAAAAAAAAATACCATAATAAGATGAACGCCGTTCCCTATAGCTTGGTCCTGGCCATCTGCAGAAACCATAACAAACAGTTGGAATTCCCAAACATAGAAAAGTGAGCATGAGTTCTTTCCTTCTTTCTATAACTTTATTTGGATGGGGGTGACAAAAACGATTTCAGAGACAGAACAGCGTGAACTACCTAGGCCTGGTCCTTTGACGCATTTCCTCTGGCCTTTTCCTACTCTCTGCAGCAACAACCACTGATATCTCCCTTCCAGCAAAGGTTTTCCCATTCATATGGTACTGAGCCTCTGATGCTTCATACGAATCCACAAACTGCACAAATGCAAACCCTCGAGGTTCCCTACATATAACAAAGCTTTATTAAAGTATGTAAATCATAAAATTAGTGCACCACTGCAATGACTGTACAGCAACAGTGAATAACCAAAACTGGCACAGTGAGTTACCGCCACAGTGTAACTACAAGTACACCTTACACAACTTTCAGCTCAGAAGCAGTTCCACACGAGTGGATGCTGTATTTACATAAAGCATGTAAAATTGAGGCTTAGCAGCTGACCTTTTTCTTTATAGTCAAGCATGAAAGGTAACTTCAAAAGATCCAAGTGACTTGAAAAGTCTTCACATTCTTGTAATTATAAGCACTTGAAATTGTAGTCTTCAGATTGTCAAGTATCAACTTTCTTCCTCATCAAACTTCTATAAGATTGTGTAATTATTTAATTTCTCTTCGTAAATGGAACATGCTTCATTTGAACATTACTTAACACGCCTGGTATACCACTATGTTAGGCAAAGATAAACAGTAGACCTTCATCAAATGTAGGGCTTGGGGCTTGTTTTAACTTCAAAGTTCAAACCAACATACCCCTGAACAAACCAGTTCAAAATCCACTATAAAAAAGGAAAAATAAAACCTTGATAAGTAGTTTAGAAAAACTAAAAGAAAGGGATATGTTTATTTCATCAACTCAAAAAACTTCAGTCCTAAAAACTTCGCAAGAACTAAAAGTAAAACAAAACTACAGTTGATATCAACTACTTCAAAAACCACATGCCCACTGAAAGTTTCCATACACCCATGAGAAGATCTCAAAGCGTGCATGAAAATGTGGCTGAGAAGTCCTACCAAACAAATACAAATTACGAAATATTACACATCCCAAATCATTATAGAATAATAGATATTAAGCAAATTATCAATCCACAATGTGTTGAGACAATTCTGTATGCAATATCCAAAAAGACTCACCCTGTGTAATAGTCCTTTGGGATATAGACGTCCCTAACAACTCCAAATCTCTCAAATGGAACTCGTAATTCTTCTGGTCTACAGAAAGCATTTAAAGATTAAAAATTCACACATGACTCCAGTTCAAGCCAAACAAACAAAATCAAACAAAAAAGTAAATAAATAACTGTATTGAAGAACATCAAACTAAGCAAGAATACTATTTGTCCGAAAAAAACCACACATTGATCAATCAAAGAGCGATTCAACAACTAAGAGAAAGATCGATTCTTAGGGATCCTCCGGGGAGGAAAAGGAATTGGTATACCAATCCGCCTTAAGCTCTAATTTGCATGATTCTAAACTTAGACACAAAAAAAAAAAAAAAAACACACACACACAAAAGTGGTAACTAGTGAAAAAGATTACCTGCAATCAAGAGGGATATTGCGAACCAAAAGGCTTCCATGATTCTGTTCCTTGCGTCTTCCTCCATATCCACCGCCTCCACCATAACCCCTTCTTGGTGGGCTTCTTCCTCGACCACCATAATCTCTCCTTGGAGGACTATAGTACTGTGGACTGTACCTTCTCATTCTTTTGCCTGAAACATTTACTCTCCATATTAATACACGATACTAACAAAGTACTATAAAATTAAGAAAAAAAGATATCTTTTTATATAGAAGAAAACAGATCAGTGGACTGTACCTTCTCATTCTTTTGCCTCAAACATTTACTCTCCATATTAATACACGGAATTAACAAAGTACTATAAAATTAAGAAAAAAAATATATATTTTTATATAGAAGAAAACAGATCATTTCTTCAACAAGCACTTTATCTGTTTTTGCGTTTGTTTGTTTGTTCTTTTGAGTTTTCTGCTAACATTACATGGTGAATTTTCGAAAAGTTTCCTATTTTCCTCGGCCGAATTGCTCGATATCTGGACATTAATTGAGAAAAGGAAAATTCGAACTTTTTCCACTCATTTTTTCTAACTATTTATCCGCTAACAAACGGAAAAAAAGGACGAATTTGGAGCTTGTTTGGCTGCTTAAAAAATTTTAAGCCGAGAAAAACAGAAAGAAAAATGGAAGATCGGGGTTCAAGATAGCAGGTTTGAATTTTAACAGAGAAATGAGTGAATGAAAAGTTCCAAAGACTACTCTTTCTCTCTCTCTTACTCTTTTTTCCTGCGATTTCGCAGGAGCCAAACAAACGGGAAGTTCCCTCCGATCTAGAGGATCGATTACGAAAGAGAAAGAGAGCGGAAGGCATTACCTGTACAAACTACGACGTCAACGAGAGATCTTCGATTGGCAGAAGAGAGAGAGAGAGAGAGAGGCTTTTTTACTGAAGTTTACTTCGATCTGGAGAATATCGGTCGGAGTCGATATTCCAAGTTCCAACCCTAAAGTCTCTGTTCCATGTTGGGCTGAGTGACGGGTTTCGACTTGGATCTTATTGGGCCTAAAAAAAGAAAGTAAACTTTGGGGAAAGAGCAGTTATATTATACGGGATTCACTGTGACATGAAACATGCACGTGAGATAATTCAGGCGGTAGGGCCAACCGGTAAGCCATCACTCTGATTCGTTGCACGATCGGAAATAGTTTCACATACCTTGGTGCAAGTTTTCCTTTCACACCAAACTGAACAACTCCCTTGCGTGGGGAAACTTTCAGCAACACGAAGTCGCCTTCTTGGAATTCTAAAGGCCTACGCCTTCTGTTAGCATAACTTTTCTGACGACTTTCAGCTGTCAACAGTCGTTCCCGAATTACAACTATCTTCTCATTATTTTCTTGAATGACTTCCGGTCCAGTGCTCAGTCAATCCTCTGGTTCCAACCAACACACAGGTGACCTACAAGGACGACCATACAGAGCTTCAAACGGTATCATTCCAATACTGGCCTGATAGCTATTGTTATAAGCAAACTCAGCTAGATGCAGGTATTTCTTCCAGTTCTCACCAAATTCAAGAATACAAGCACGAATTATCTCCTCAGTGCACGCCGCATGTGTAAATCTTCATCTCCTTGCCTCTCATTTATTCAATTATTGTTCTACCTTTTCTGATTTCATGTAATTTTTTCTTGCCAGATTTTTTCCTCTTCACCCTTGGTTGGTTGCTGCATGTATGTAAGTTCTGATTTTTGGCTTTTCATTTATTAAATTTATGAGCTGAGGTGTTTCTATTGCTGATCTGTATTGCCAGCACATAATTTGTACATATTTTGTAGCAAATGTATTAAATGCATAGGTGATTTTCCCTTCCTTGATTCTCTGTAATGGTTAGGAATTTTACAGGAAAAAATTCCCCCCATTTTCTGCCCTTTTTCCTCCTACCGTTTCTCTTTATTTTTTCCTTTTGTTGTTTCTATTGATGTATAACTTTGTTATTTTATGAATAAACATTGCTGCTCTAAAAAGATGGTAAAAAATTTCCCTTTATATCAAATCAATAAAAATTCCTTTTTATTGTCGATCCCTGTTATTAACATATTGTTATTCCATTCTTTTCTTCCTCTCTGTACAACTGGTGTATGGTCATTAGTTATTAGGTCTGAAGTTGCTCATTTTTTTTGTCATATGCTTAGATGGATACTTACACCTAAGATATTTTATTTTTACTTGCCCCTTTTTATCTCCTATGCTCTTTCCTATCTTTTTTTTATGGCGATGATGAGCATGAATAATTTTAATCCATTGAGAATTGTACCGTGAGACTACTTTATTCATTTGAATTCCAGATTTGTCAATATTTTCTTAGTGAACATTTTTTGCTCTCTCCTTTTTCTTCCTTTTGCTTAGCTTACTTCTTTTACTTTTTTGGCTCTACCATTTGATTTTAAGGCTATTTACAAATGTATTACATTTCCCTTTTCATTCCTTATTTTAAATTTTCTTATGCTATTTTAATTTGCCCCTGCTCTTTAACTCTATTTTTTACTTATTTCTAGCCCCTCCTACTTTTCTCTTGCCTCTCTCTTTATTTTTTCCCGCTTTTAAAACTGGACTATCATACTTGAATTTCCCAGCATTGACTCCAATTTGAACCACTCTGGATCGGATAGTGGGAGAACGGATTTGCTCTCTTTCTCTACTCATTTTCGCTCCTCACTATAAGGCTTAATGTCCTCTTAATCCATTCTTGGTGTTTTTAAACTTCGGCTTGTGGTTACATTTTTCTGCCTATGCTATCTTTTGCCTTCTTTTTCCCTTGGATTTGAATAAGTAGCCATTTAATGCAAATGCAGTATTAGCTTCTGCTTCCCCTTTTGTTTACCTATATTTTATACTCTCTACTCCTTTTTTCCCCTCCTTTTCTACATGCTCTGGTTTTTACAGTTTGTTCTTATTTTGTTGCTATCTTATACTTATAATAAATCCATTCTTTTTTCCTCCCCCCTTTACCTCACATGGTGGCTTTTGGACGACTCTATACTTTGCTCTGGTTATTCACTTTCTATGACACAATTTATAATTTGTGTGATAAATTTGGTGTCTTACTGCCATTTGTATTTTTGTGCAGTTGCCCTTAGTAGATAGCCAAAAAAAAAAATGCAAATGCTTATGTTTACCTTTTTATCACACATTGTTGAGAATATTCATTATCTAAGCCATCATTACTAAATAAAAACATTACCACGTTCATCCTTCATTGGATATGCTTTTGGCTCTTTTCCGCTGCCTTCTCTGTGTTGTGCTCTACATTTCATTCTCGCTTTCTGCTTTTCTTCCTTCTTTTTTCTCCCATTACAATTGTTTTGTCCCTTTTCATTTCTCATTTGTTAATCTCTCTATTTACTTATTTATTTAATTGTATTTTCCCAGACTTGGCACCACACTCTGGTTTATATTTTCATTGATGTACCTCTATATTAAAAACATCTAAAAGTGCCCTCTTTCCCAAGCTCAATGAGTGCCTATCTTCTTATGTGGGTCCCTTTGTTTCCTTTGGTTGCGTATAGCTACCTGTATCCTATAAATGGAGGGATTGAAAATATTTGTAAATTATAATTTATCTGATTTTATATTTTGCACAATACAAAATAGAGAGAGAACATAATAGTGACTATGCATCAATGGATCCACAAAGGCAAGATAGATTTATTAATTTATATCATATATGTCTAAAAAAATTTTATTGTTTTAAATACATATCAAATTTTTTTTTTCATTTCAGTCCTCAACCAACACCATCGTCACAGATATCAGACCCAACCACAATTAATCAACATACGCCAATCATAAAAAGATCAAACACAAGATAAAGCATGTTATATATAAAAAAATAATTTTTACTATTTTAAATACATATTTACATAATATTCCATAATATCAATTCTGAATCAAAAGCAACAGAACATTTTAAAAAACGTATAAAGACAGAGTAATATATTTTTTTCTATATCATTTAATTTACACTATGTATGATAAAAATTTGTCAATTTCTTTAAAAATTATATTGTATATAAAAATCTCAAATCTTTCATATATTATAACAATATATCCCACAGCAACGCACAAAATATAAGCTCATTTGTCCTTAAAAAAATTATAGACGTGCTAACTAATTAATGTTCAATTTGAAAGATCTATTTTTTTATTGATATGATTTTCATGATATCTAATTTAATCTTTTCGTACTCCTATTTAATTTTAATTTTAATTTAATTTATAGAATAATATAAACCATTTCAACTAGTAATATTATATTTTCTTTTTTAAAATTAATGTAATTTTTTATCTTTATTTATTAATTGTCTTCATCTTACCTCCTCCTACTTATTTTCCTTCTTTGAATAAGAAAGTACAAGAACAACTCTCCGAGTTTGATATTTACAAAGCTACTCCTTTGATTGTTTTGACTGATTATTGCTAATAAGTAAAATTAATAAAGACTTGTTCATTGTTTCTCGTTTTCTGAATGATTTTGGTTTAATATTAAACAAAAGGTGAGGGTATATTTTTTATTTCTTTAAAAAATACTTTCTAATTATAATTAATATGGGTGTGCGCTCTTTTATTTTTTCAAAAAAAAAAAAATATATATATATATATTATTTCTGTTTATAACTAATGTGGGAGTTTGTTAATGGGTTTTCATGTAATTTTAATGTAAGGTAAAATTGTAATAAATATTTATTATGAATTGGTGGGGGTCTTAATAAATTTAGTGGGTGCAAATATAATTATTCTTTTAAGAAAATTGCTAAAAATTACCTTAGGGTCTCTGTCACGACCTCAAAGATGAGACTATGATTATTAGGATATAATTAAAGAAAATTAAGTTAATTAAACTGGATTAATTAAGAAAAATCAATGAAAATAAAATAAAATATACAAATACCAAAATAGATATTGAATTATATTGCTCCAGAGTCTTTCCTTTACAAACAATATTTAAAATAGTCCATAAAGTTTAAAATAATACAACTCTGGGAATATGTCGACCAATACAGCTTATATATAGAAATACAGTACATCTCAGAATTAAAACTGTACATCCAAAACAAACGTATCGCTTCAAATCTCGCGCCTTCAATCCATTGACATCCACTTGTCATGTTATAAATCTAAACCGCTAACTCTGGATGAGGTTTGAAACATTAAAAACATAATAGTAAAAGCGAGTGAAAGGCCCAGTAGGATATAATTTTATAAAACTTTATAAATAAAAGTGCATCCGAAACCGATCATCCTTTAAAGAAAGGAAATAAATCTTAAAGTTTCAGTTTCATGCATCAGCAAGTAATTTAATGATAAATTACTTACAGCATCGCTAAGCCTTAATTCACCACTGTAGTGGCCCGTACGGGTTTCGGGACCTACTCCTACGGATACGATCCCCATATCCCGATCTCTAGGCCATCAAGCATTTTATCATTTCTTAAAATATCTCATTTTAAAAAAATATATGTTAAAACCTTAATTCAGTTCATTAGGAATTCAATAGCATTATTCATGTTATTTCCTTAAACTACTTTATATTTATAAACTATATTTCTCAAAACCTCATTTAACACAATGATGGTTTAATAGCATAAGTCATGTTATTTTCTCAAAATCATTTTCAAAACGTTTACATAGGTTGAAATCATTTAAAACAATGCTATCAAGAATATGGACAAGAATATCCTACCTCTTGCCAATTTAGTCTACTTATAACTTCACATTACTCAACTGTCTATTCTTGAAGCTCCACGGCTCGCTCTGAACTTTCACGAATTCATTAGATTCGCCTCAATTTGCATGCACGATATCGATAGACTTTTCAACATAGTTGAATTAGCGCAAACGGAGGTCACTGTTGCATTCAACACGGCGAAACGAGTCAAGCTATGGTCTTGGATCGACAAACAGAGGTCGGGAGGTTGCTGAACGGAAGCTCACCAGAATTCGGCCACAATTGGCAGCGTCGGAGGCTCC